CAAAAGGGCTTCCCAGCCCTTCTGTTACCTTTTCTCCACATGGGAATGGAGAAAGGTTTCCATTCTCTCACACACAGTAGTAAACTTGTGTGAGGGAATTGAAACCCACATCATTTACATCTGCAGTCACTGGGATAGAACAGAGTCAAATCCTCTCAGAATTTGAGGAGGAATTAAATCTAGGTTTTCTACAGCCTGGGAAATTGCTATAACCATTGAACTATTAGATAATAGCATACCGTCTCCTCCTGCTTTGCTGTGCATTTGGCTTTTCATTTGCTTTGCTTTTATTACAAATCTCTGAAAATCTACTTGAGAGCAAACAAATTAGTTTGCAAACAAAAACATTTTTGGATAAAAAAAATTGTATACTAAATATTATATAAGAAATATTTATTTTGAGTCAATACCACTATTTTCCCCCCACTTCCTTTTATTTTTTTTTAAATGTTGTTCACCCATCAAATCAACAGCTCTCCACAGTAGAGGAGGGAGCTGAAGAAAACCTGTGGGAGTGGGATCCATATAACAAGCAGAGACATGCACAGTATTAATTAGCTTATTAAAAAACTTGAGTGATTGGGGCACAACGTGATGTTAGCATCATCCCCAACTCTTCTACCTTGTGATAGCAGCCATGTATTTTTTTATGCCAGCTCCTGAAGCTGGCAGTTGAGGAACCCTCCTTGTAGTTCTACTCCTGTTACAGATTACAGTGTAGTTTTTCACCCATAGTGCACAATATTTACATAATCAGGTTAGCGCTTATTTTATTTGTCTGAAAAGAGTGAAAAATTAGTGTCTTCCCATATAACCTTGTGCTACACAGAGGTAATATCAATTCTCAATTAAATTCTGCTTTGATACCAAGGTATACTCTTTTTATCCACGTTAGAAGGAAGAACACTGTCATGTTAATAATCTTTATGAACTACAAAGGTCTACAAACAATTTAATTCAGAGCTCACATCCCTAATTGAAAATGAACTAGGAAAAATGCCTGTAGACCAAACCACAGGTACAGTGCTTGCTGCTATGAGTCCTCTACCACATGTCTGTAGAACCCAAAGCTTGGCACAGGCAGGTCAGATTGTGAGCAAAGAGAACATAGTTATCCCTAACAAACCATATATTTTGACAGTATTTGACCTCTGGCAATCTTGACTGCTCAATATTTTTAAAAGCTGGTTATTTAACTTATTTCTTCATGTTTTTAATTTTGTGAACTCACAACTATAAGTGAACAGATGATACTAAGGGTAAAATTATGTTTCATTCAAAGTGTAGCTCCTGACTACTGTGTGGCAGTGATTCAAATGCACATTCTGGCCGTGTCCAGACAAACGCGGCTGTGCAGTACGCGGCATCGAAGACCTCTCTACTGCGCCACACATTCAGGTATTCCCTGCACTGCGTGGTAGCAGTGTGGGGGGCGGGGGTTAACCCCAAGAGATCCCGGGGTCAAAAAAACCTACTAAAAAATAAAATGGGACAGTACATACGGCAACAGCACATGTGGGAGCACTTGCGCACTGCCCCAAACCGGAGCCTGGCTTGCTGAAGCCACACTGGCTGCTGGCCAGGCTTTGAGTGGCAGGATCACTGCAGCTGCAACTCCCTGAGGCCCCCAGGACACCAGGTAAGGCTGTTGTGCTGGCCCCAACCTCCCCTACCCTACCCAGGGTAACCTGCTGTACACCAGAGGGCATGTGGCACAGGTATTTCCCGGGGACAAGTAGCAGCAACACAAGGTGTGCCCCTGCTTCTTGTCCATGGGGAAACAAACCTCCACACTTGTGTGGACACAGCCTCTGAGTGCATAAGTGCCTCTGTGTTAGGAACAGGGAGATATCTGCTCATCTGGGGAGGATGATCCTATTCCTTATTCCTATAATAGGCACTTACATGCCCAGAGTGAGTAATAGAATTTCTCCTGTACCTACAGAGAGTTCATTTCAAAAGTGCACTCTGTTATCCACTAGGTGAAATAAAAATCTGCCCTAAATGTCTAATAAAAGTAGCTATATACCAAATGTGGAATCCAGTAATGCAGCTTGAAGTAGTATTGTTTTTTTGTATTTTGCTGGTTTCTGTTAACCCACTTTCCTCTTGTCTAATCTGACATTACAAATATTACTTAAACAGTTTAGCAAAGAGAGTCTTGGTGTTATTGTTAAGTTTTTCCTTTAGCCAGTACATAAGCTTGCGCTGAAAGATAATAGGATATTGAGATAACTTTAGCCTTTAACTTTGCCTTTCATTGCTGCTGCGTCGTTTTTTAGAATAGTGTCCTTACGAGGTCCTTTTTTAATGTAATAGACAAATAATTTACTCAGTTATGAACAAAAATATTTACATCCAACACTGAATATATATTTAATCATGAAATCCAGCTTCATTCTTCTAGTAATTGGATGAACAATTTATAAACTTGGGACATGCATTTAAAACAAATGTGAAAAGCAAAGGCCTCTTGGTTAATGTATTTAATTGGACCAACTATGGACTTGGGAAAGATGTCACACAAGCTTTCAGGTACAAAGTACCCTTCCTCTGGCCTGGGAAAGAAGCATATAAAGCCTAGTTGAATACCGGGTATAGTAATGACTTTTTAACTCCTTTATGGGCTCATATACACATTCATTCATGTGCCTTAGATGCTGAGCAGTTAGCTTAGTACTTCTGTAATAAAGTGCTAACTAAATGCGCAGTACCTAAAGTTATAGCACAGTAGCACCAGTGAAGTTATTTAGTGATGCTTACTGCACATTAGGCTAATAACTCTGTGCAGTAGGCTATTTGCATGGCGTTTGCCATGACACGTTACTGCAGTGTTATTAGGCTAATGTGTAGTAAGTGTCTCGTGTAGACATGTCATATTACATGAAGATAGTTACTTAAAGGGGAAAAAGGCAGTAAACCTGTGGAAAAAAAAGGAAGTTAACAGAAGTAACTGCAAACCAAGGAAGCTTTGTACAAACCTGAGGAAGGGCATAGTGTCTGGAAGCTTGTCTAACATCTCTCCCAATAATGTAGTTGATCCAGTAAATGATATCAGATAAACGTTGCTTCTTGCATATGCCCTGGACAGATTCTAACACCTATTTATTAAGAATAGCTTTTATTTAACAAAAAATAACATTTTGGGGAAGTTTAACCCAATTTTTACTAGTTAAGAAGGATTCCTATTTATATCCTGAGAAACAGAGGAAGAAGGAGAAATGCATTCAAATGTGGAGCTCCCACAACGGGCAAGGATTGAAATAAAATTAGTTAAACAGTGTAATTCTCAAAGCTAACTAAGAAAATAGCTAGCTTGAAGCAGGAGGAGGAGATGAAGAGGATAATCAAGACTTCCAAATACAGGCACAGCTACTTAGATAGTGTATTGTTCTCAAGATTTATTGCTTCTATTAATAAGCTATATAATTTTATATATGTTTTTAAGGAGATGCGTGCTGGCATCTAAGGAGATGCAAATTTAATACATTGCAAGATATCTCAGCATTTTGTGTGGGAAGAGCATGTGTTTTCTATGTAAAAGTGGTAAGCTTTTGAAAATGCTCTCTGTCATGTAGTTTCACTCATAAAATCTATGACCTTCACAGTAATTTTAGTAGACTTGAAGTCAGAAGTCATATTGGGGAAAAATAAGCAGCAATAGTATGCTAGATCCCCTCACAAGTAAAATTTGCCAACTTATGATGGCAAAATAAAACACCATTCAGAATAGATCATTCAGATTTTCATTCTTGCATGATTTGATTGGTAAAAGTGTTGAAATGTAAATGACCATATTAAACTTCAGAGCCAACATTTCACTGAGATAAAAGGAGACTGTACATTCTCAAAAAAAAATCCAAATATTTTTTTCAGAGCAATATAAAGGAATTCAGTATAATTTCCCCATTTTAAAATAACTAAAATAATGCTAAAAACAATGCAGATTTGCTGAGGCAGTTATATTGGGTGTATTTTACAAAAGAGGAGCCTGAGGCATACAGTTATGCCATGACTTCTTTGGGTGAGTGGGGAAGGCTCTGAGTTGGAAACAAGAGCCACGAAAGTGTTATAGCTGTGAAAAAAAATCTTAAACACAAAATAGTTTAATAAAACTAAATTCTAGATGAAATTGGAAGTAATCAATTAATTGCTGATCACTGGCCAAATCTTGCATTTGCATACAGACATATATTGCACATTTCTTACCATCTAAATTAAAAATGCTTTATCCTCTAAATCCCTTAACATCAAAATACCATATAAACTTAAGTATTTATATTGGAATTCTCTGCATATTGTGAAAGAAAAATACTGCAATTAAACTGCAAGAAACTAGTGGTATAAAGAGCAAGGAACGGACAAGAGACTATCCCACATATCTCTGCAATCAGTATTGAAGGCATTTTCTATTTTATTGAACACTGATACTGGGTGCTGTATCAAAGTATGTAGATTTCACTTTAAAAACTTGTCTTCATTTAGGGACAATAGGACGGCAAAATGATGTTGGAATTTTTAATTTATGGGCCTTTATGTTCCACAGCAGTTAGTTTTTCTTAAGTAGATACTGAAAACTGAATCTGTAGCCATTGCAAGAAAAATAAAAATAGTTATGCTAAAAAAAAGTAGATTTGCTGAGGTGATTATAAATAAGTATATTTTAAACTCTGATTTCATGTCTTTAATATATGATTCAACCATTTTTAGTCTTCTAATTGCATATTTTAATCAGGTTCTAGTAAGGTCAAATGACTTGCCATCTTTTAAATAATTAGTATTTGAATAGCTACATCAATTAGTTTCCCCTTCTGTTTTTTTTATGTGGAGACGGAGCGACAAACTGTAGAGATGGAGCGACAAACTGTCAAATTCAATTTGTATTTGATATTGTATACTTTAATTATTATAAACATGCTCAGCATGTAAGTTTCTGTTAAATCAAAAGGAATAAAGAATTCATTTTGTTCTTCATGCAAACTGTTTTCTCTTCTGTGTAGGAGATTGCATCAACAATTTGAAAGCTATAAAGAACAAGTGAGAAAAATAGGTGAAGAAGCCCGCCGCTACCAGGGAGAGCATAAGGATGATGCACCAACATGTGGAATTTGCCTTAAAACAAAGTTTGCAGATGGTTGTGGCCATTTATGCTCTTACTGTCGGACCAAGTTCTGTGCCCGATGTGGAGGTCGTGTTTCTCTACGATCAAACAACGTAAGTGATACAGTGTTAAATGGATCTTTTTGACACAATCAAACTGGAGGTTGTTCAAATTCTTCAGTCACTTAAACATGGCATTTCCTGCCTTAACTTGACCATCTCATCCATTCATCATGTCCCAGACCCTTTTATTTAAGTGGGGTTTCAATTGGAGTAGCTAATAAGTAGAAATAACATATTCCAAAAGTATGAAGGTGTTTAGAGCTCTAAAATGAGTTAGTTAACATAAAGGAATATAGCACATGATTATAGTGAGCTATAGTTTGAAGGTAAAATTCTCATTTTGCTTGGGATGGTGAATTATATTTTCATCTTAGATTTTTGTGAAATGTTCCATATTGAGCCATTTTGATTAGCTCTAAAGAAGTTTAAGCTGCTGTTTCAAAAATAGCTATTTTTATAGCTTTTAATAAAGGTTATTTATGTTTCTCTTTTTAAAGAGAATTTGATGAAGAGAAAGGTAAGCTTTTCTGAATCGCACCAATAACACAGAGGCCAAGGTCCTATTTCACTTTATATATGCAAATGGTATTTACCCCACCATGTAAGTGCTGTTTTTGGCATGTGTGCACAGTTTGGGATTCTATTTCAGATGCAGTATGGATTTGCATGTGCCCACATGACTTCTGAGCATGCTTAGAAGGGATGTGCTCTTGCTGGGTGGGCATTCCAGTTGCAGTAAGCTTACTTGGGTATGCATTCAAGTCCTGAAATGTTAGCCAGGCAAAAATCCATGACTGGCAGATATTAAACCACAGAGAAAGGTCCTCCTGTGTTTTATCTTGATGGTCTAGTGCCCAGGGCACTTGCCCAGGAAGCATAAGAACCAGGTTCTAGGTCCCCATCCTCCTACAGTAGTTTGAACCTACATCTCCTACTTCCCAGGACAGTATTTTAACCACTATGCTGCAGGTTAGGTGCTAACCATATGCGTCTCCAGCCATTGGAGAACACTGGGGAAGTTTCAGCCCTCTGAGCTCGTCTACACATGTAATTAATGTGCACAGACAAACTCCAGAGCTTATTGTTCTGGAGTTTTTTGCTCCCATGTGTGCTATTTTAAAGCCCAGGGCTGCTCCGATAGGTTCCATCTGCTGTACAGCAGCTGGCTGGGGCATGAGTATGCTTCACCATGGGGGCTGGCGGCTGGTTAGACCCATGCTGAAGCACCCTGTGCCCCAGCCAGCCAGGCCAGCATCTACACATGTGTTGCTACACATACAAGAACTCTTCAACAGATTAGTATTTGTATTTACAAGTTAAGGTATTTAACATGTCCTAACCTGCTCTGAAGTTTTTCTATGTGTGGCAGCACATTTGTAGATGCTGCCCAGGCTGGCTGGGGCACAAGGTGCTTCACTGTGGTACTAACCAGCAGGGACCCCCCCCGCTGAAGCACCCAATAGACACAAGTCCTAACCTGCTGCAGAATTTTTTCATATGCCCTAATAGAAACGCATGTGTAGGCACTGAGACATTTACAGTGCAGTTAATTAGTCAATTGTGCAGTAAACTTCTTGTGTAGATGCACCCAGTGAGAGCAAGGGTCCACAGTAGAACTCAGGGCTCCCTCCTATCTAGAGCATTAGTCATGTTACTGAGCCACATCCCCTCTGGCTTCTTTCTGGATCTCCATATCTCCCTCTCTTGCCTGCCCATGTGTCTAGGTTCAAAAGCAGGATGAAAACATGAGAGGATTCTCCTCTGCCTCCTTTATTTTGTTTCTTCCCAGTATGTACACAGGTCAAAAGTCTGCTTTTCTACGAGATAAAAATGGTATTAATATAACAGAGAAACAGCCATTTAGGTGATAAAGTGAAATAGGATCCATCTCCAGGTGTGTTAGTTTCATTTTAAAAACTGTATCTGTAAATTAGCCAGGGTTGCTTTGGAATTGTTTTTTAATCCTTCTGTTAAGCAAGTGAGATTCCCATTAACAACAACTAGTAGTTCGTATAAACCTAGCTAGAGGGTGTTCCCAATCACCTAAGTGTTCCCAAACTTGAAGGCTCTTCAGGGATCTACTCTTTCTCTTGGCAGTCTTCTGATCCCATGGCAGGTGGCTGCCCTCCTCAGTTGTGCATAGAATCATAGAAAATTAGGGTTGCAAGGGACCTCAGGAGGTCATCTAGTTCAACCCCCTTCTCAAAGCAGGACCATCCTCACCTAGATCATCCTACCTAAAGCTTTATCTAGTTGGATCTTAAAAACCTCAAAGGATGCAGATTCCACCACCTCTCTGGGTAACCTGTTCCAGTGTTTTACTACCCTCCTAGAGAGAAATATCTAACCTAAACTTCCCTTGCTTCAACTTGAGACCATTGCTCCTTGTTCTGTCATCTGCCACCACTGAGAACAGTCTAGCTCCATCTTCTTTTGAACCCACCTTCAGGTAGTTGAATGCTATAAAATCCCCACTCAGTCTTTTCTCCTCTGGACTCAATAAGCCCAGTTCCCTCAGACTTTCCTTGTAAGTCATGTGCCCCAGCCCCTTCACCATTTTTGTTGCCGTCTGCTGGATTCTCTCTAATTTGTCCACATCCCTTCTGTAGTGGGGGCCCCAAAACTGAACACAGTACTCCAGATATGGCCTCACCAGTGCTCAATAGAGGGGAATAATCACTTCTGTTGACCTACTGGCAACACAGCTCCCAATGCAGCCCGGTATGCCTTGGCCTTCTTGGTAACAAGGGCACACTGCTGGCTCATATTCAGCTTATTGTCCACTGTAACTTCCAGGTCCTTTTCTGCAGAGCTGCTGTCCAGCCAGTCAGCCCCCAGCCTGTACTAGTGCATGGGACTGTTCCGTTCTAAGTGCAGGACTTTGCACTTGTCTTTGCTGAACCTTGTGAGACTCCTTTTGGCCCAGTCCTCCAATTTGTCTAGGATTCTACGCTCTGAATCCTGGCCCTGCCCTCCAGCATATCTACAACTCTCTTCAGCTTGATGTCATCTGCAGACTTGCTGTGGGTGCACTTTAAGCCATTTTCCAGGTCGTTGATGAAGACCTCAAACAAAACTGGGGGCACTCCATGTGATACCAGCTGCCAACTAGACATCAAGCCATTGATTACTACCTTCTGAGCTCCAGCCAGTTTTCTATCCATGTTACAGTCCATTCATCCAGCCCATACTTCCTTAGCTTGTCTGTGAGAATGTTGTTGGAGACTGTATCAAAAGTCTTGCTAAAATCAAGGTAAAACCCATCCACTGGTCTCCCTGCATCCACAGAACCAGTTACTTTGTCATAGAAGGCAATCGGCTTGGTCAGGCATGATTGCCTTGGTGAATCCATGCTGACTGTTCCTAATCACCGTCTCCTCCTCCAAGTGCTTAGAAATGGATTTCTTGAGGATCTTCTCTGTGATTTTTCCAGGGACTGAGGTGAGGCTGACTGGTCTGTTGTTCCCTGGATCCTCCTTTTCCCCTTTCTTAAATATGGGCAGTATGTTTGCCCTTTTCCAATCATCCAGGACCTCTCCTGATCACTATGAGTTTTCAAAGATGATGGCCAGTGTCTGCAATCACATCAGCCAACTCCCTCAGCACTCTTGGGTGCATCCCATCTGGCCCCATGGACTTGTACATGTCCAGCTTTTCTAAGTAGTCCCTAACCTGCTCTTTCACTACTGTGGACTGCTTACTTCCTCCCCAAACTATGCTGCCTGGTGTTGTAGTTTGGTAGCTGACCTTACCTGCCTTACTGAGGCAAAAAAGGCATTGAGCACTAGCCTTTTCTGCATCCTCTGTCTCAAGGTTGCCTCCCCCATTCAGTAAGTGACCCATGCTTTCCCTGATCCTCCTCTTGCTACTGACATACTTGTAGAAACCCTTCTTGTTACCCTTCACATCCTTGGCTAGCTGCAACTCCAGTTGTGTGTTGGCCTTCCTGACTTCATCCCTGCATGCCTGAGTAATACTTTTATACTCCTTCCCAGTTATTTGTCCAGGTTTCCACTTACAAGCTTCCTTTTTATGATTTAGCTTACTGAAGAGTACCCTGCTAAGCCAAGCTGATCCTCTGCCATACTTGCTAGTCTTCCTGCACATCATGATGCTTTTTTCCTGCACTCTCAGTAAGGCTTCTTTCAAGTATAGCCAGCTCTCCTGGGCTCCTCTTCCCCTGAGACTGGCTTCCTAGGGGATCCTCCCTATGAGTTCTGTGAGCAAGTTGAAGTCTGCTTTTCTGAAGTCCTGGGTCCTTACTCTGCTGATTGTCAATCCTTCCATTCCTCAGGATCCTGAACTCTATTGTCTTGTCACTGCTCTCCAAGTTGCATCCACTACCACATTCCCCACCAATTTGTCCCTGTTTTGTGAGCAGCAGGTGAAGAAGAGCATAGTCCCTAGTTGGCCGCTTCAGCACTTGCACTGGGAAGTTGTCCACAACACCTTCCAGAAACTTCCTGGATTGCCTGTGCACTGCTGTTTTGCCCTCCCAGCAGATGCCAGGGGGATTGATCAGGAAACTTCTGGTAGCTGTTTGAAGAATGCCTCTTTCACCACTTTCTTCTGTCTGGTGGTCTATAGCAGGCCCCTCATCACGATATCACCCTGGTTGCTTTCCCCTTTGATTCTAACCCAGAGACTTTCAACAGACCTATCTCTAGTTTCATGCTGAAGCTCTGATCAATCTTATGGCTCTTTTACATAAAGTGCAACTCCTCCTCTTCTCCCCTGCCCGTGCTTCCTGCACAGTTTGTACCCATCTATGATAGTCATGCATGATGTGTGAAATCTTATATAGAAGTCCACTGTCATGTACTAAACTTTGGATTATGAGCTAGCTCCAGTACACGCACACACGCACACACACACGCACACACATACACGCACACACACACACACACGTGTGCACGTGCTTATATTTTCATTTTATTAATGGATTTGTTAGCTATTAGGAGATCAATTCTGGCTTTCCAGATACTGTTTCAAGGCATTGGAGTCTTTGGGTGCCTGCACACATGTGAGGATGCTACTCCGATGCGCTGTAATTACAGCACGTTGCAGCACACTTGATTAATCAATTAATCGAGTCTGCCGGAGCATGCTAATTAGCGCTCTCCAGCAGGTTCTGCGTCTCATATGTTCAGCATCCCTGCACTTCAAAATGGCGATGGAGGGCACTTTAACTATTGAATGAGCTTTAGTTAAAGGCCCCCATTGCTCTTTTGAAGTGCAGAATGCTGAATACACAAGACACTGTGGACGCTTTAATTAGAGGCACCTATCAGAGCCACTTTAATTAGAGTGTCCCCCTCTCACCACTCCTGGAGCACATGTAAATACATCCTTTGGCACTGTTGTAAATGCATGTAGACTTTTTCAGAACTATCTAAATTGAGTGATAACTTGGCAGAAATATGCATAATACTACCTAATGCACCATTAAGACTCCTAGTATCCTTACCAGGAGTTAAATACACTTTTTGAAAAATCAATATAGTTCTAGAGTTTAAAATATTAAACCTATATGAAGTTTTGAAAAGTAACTGGATGCATTTCATTTTATCACCTGCAGATGGTATCACCAGAGCAAGTTTTTGGAAAACCTAGTTTACTGTGCTATTTTAGGTAATATTTGGTATCATGGTATGTATAGCACAGCTTTCCTGTACTCAAGAAGAGCTAGTATATGTTTTAGTTATTTTTTATCCCATATTTTTCATCACATGTACAAAAATTGGGCTAAATTTTGTCCCTGATGTAACACTCCAGATGACTTTTGGCGTGTCTTGTTATGGGTGAATTTGATTTACTTTGATAGAACTTAGAACTTTCATAATGCTAAAATGCTTTCCTGTTGTGCCTAATTTTGTACATTGGCTTGCACAATCTTCATGGATATTTAAATTAAGTCCAGGAAATGCATTAGTAAGGTACAGTGAGGAAAGAAAATCCTCAGAAGATTCTTCAAGTATTCAGTTTAGAAAACTAACCTGCATGTGAGAAATAGGATACATCTAATATGGAAAATAGTTGACTCAAGCAATCTGTTTATACAGTTCTCTTTCCCCCTCCGTGACTCAGTTGTGATACAGGTACAATTTTTTTGTACCTAACTTGACCTTGTTATAATTGGGACAGATAATTAGGCTAAAACCCAGTTCTGAAGCAAGAGTAAAGCTCTTGACTCATGGGCAGAATTTTCCCATGCTTGTAACTGGGTCAAGGGATAACAGTCTTGTAACTGTATTATCTGATGGAGTTGTTTTTATAGTACAGGTTTACAGTCCAATTTTTCACTTGCTTAAAACTTCAAAATGGGCAATTTGGGCCTGTTACAAAAGAAAGAAAAGAAACGTAAATATCATGCCTGCTTTAGGACCTTATCCTATGTAATGATTAGACAAATTTCTGTAAGAGACAATATTAAGTTGTAAATTTGTGAAAACAAATAGCTTTTGATGGAAGAAACAGAAGCTGCAGTTATCGTGATAAATGTCTTTGAAACACTTGGAAGTTGATTCTTGTGAAAAAAGAAATTAATTGCTATTGCTTCCATTCTTTCATGTGTCTTCTCCATTCTTTGCTAACATCTCTTATACTTCTGTGGGTCCATGTTGGGATATATATTTTCTGTATATGCAATAGTATAAGTATCTTTTTATTTAAAAATGTTATTTTTTTTTAATTCTTACGTTTTCAGCTCTATATAGACACTTACTAGAATTGCCTTTCTTTGAAATCTGCCTATTAATATTTGCCTCCCTTTTTCTTTTTCTCTTCCTATTTCTTTTTTCTCCTTATTCTGCTTCCTTGGATGCTTTCCCAAAGGAGGACAAAGTGGTTAGAATCAATGCTTTTTATTATTTATTATAATAATGTTGTTAGTTAACTAAATGTGAAACATATTTATGTTAAGTATTGAACTGAAAATTTAAAATGATCCCATGTAATAAAAGCCCATTCTTAGTTTGTGTGCAGTTGCTGAAATTAGGATAATCAACCACATGCATTAAAATTGTGGGAAATCCAAAAGAGGTAGAAAGTTCAAGAAAGGTTCAGGGTGTGCTAAAATACAGCTAAATATAACAGTGAACTTCCTTCAGTAAAAATGACTGTAATTCCCAATCCGGCTTTTGATTTTCAGATATGAGGTTCTTCCATCTTCAGGAAATCTAGTTTAATTTTAAACATATTTTCATTTGATTTATGTTGTTTGTTACATCTTACTTCTGGCTGCAGCAAAAACTCAGGGATGTGGGAAGTCAGCCTTTTGATCTTACATTTCAAATGCTTTCACTGAGCTAATGTTGGAAAGTGATACAGGGGTGAAAATATAGCAGATGGAAATATGGACTCCAATGCGTATAAAGTATGTTTTTGAAGAGTTCTAAAGCCGTTTAAGGGTCAAATTAAATATGGAAAGTTTCAGCAGAGTTTCCTGTGTACCTTATGAAAAAACACCATGTTTTAATATCTAGTTGTTCATTCAGCATTATAACAGTGACATTGCAGAAGGAGTAGGCATCCCTTCTTAGTTCCAACCAGGCAGATGTTATACATACCCATAGTTCTGACAAGTCACTCTAGGTGGTGAATACATAAATATATTGGGCAAAGATGGATAGCAAACTCCATTTAGGCTCACCTCAAGAGAAGAGTGTTAGAGGCATTTCAGCCAACCATTTACCTACCCCTGACTTGAAGGTGGCAGTGCCACATCTGTGTCATGGAATGGTAGTATTCCATAACAGAAATGGCACCCTAGGACAACCTAAAACCAGTGTTGTGCAATAGCTGACAAAACATGTTACATGTTTTCTACAGACATATTAATGTTGAAATTGCTGTACCTTATATAAAACTTAGAACACTTCTCTGTAGCATCTCTGCATAGATGCTACTGTTTGTACTAGTTTACACTATTGGTCCTAATGACGGATATCCAGATTGCTGTGGGTGGAGTGTCATGTGTCTTTGATATTGATTAACATATAGTGCAGATTGTATAGATAGAGATTTTGATTTTCATGGGCATTTTTGGCAAGGTGCCTTCTAAGCTTGAGAATTGATCACTGGGGCCCCTGGCAGATAATAATGTAAGCATATGATGGGATCTGAGGAATTTTATTTTGGATCCCCCCAAAAATGTGTTTCATGCCATGCCAGCCATTCAAGAACTGACATGGCAGGACATGCAGTTTTTGTGATCTGGGATAAAATTTCTCAGATCCGATCATGCATCTGCTGGTGCTGTGGAGCAATTCTCCAGTGCTACGCTTCCCAGGCCACCCTTTAAGCTTACTGGCTCACAGGACACCTGGGACTGGGGAGCTCCTTCCCAGTCCCAGGCTCCCTGCACACCCAGACCTTTGAAGGGCACATTGGACACCCTGGCATTGGAGACTGGGCCCCTGATGCTGGGTTGCCCAGAATGTCTTTAAACTTGCTTGTGCAGGCTGAACCTGGGCTTAGGGGACTTCTCTCCAATCCCAGGATCCTGGAGTCCCTGGACCTTTAAAGGCTGCCCTGGCAGTCCTGTTCCCATTGCTGCCAGGGATATGGCAGCCTGAAAACTTCACTGACAACTCTGGTACTCAGGGAGCCAGCTTCTTTTCCACCCCCCATTCCCCTATGGAAAAGGCAGGGCATGTTAATACCTTAGGTTGCATACACACATACTAAGTCAACTTAAAATAAGCTGACTTAAGTAAGTTGCCTTAAGTTAGACCACATTGGAGAATACACATATAGCTCCGTGACATATGGGGGGAGGTGAGCACGCTAGCAGGGAGAGAGAGATTGCAGAAGGATCTGGATAGGTTACAGGGGTGGGCTAACAGGAACAGGATGCGTTTCAATACGGACAAGTGCAGGGTGCTGCACTTGGGCAGTAGGAACCAGCAGCACACTTACACAATGGGGAACTCCCTACTTGAGAGCACGGAGGCAGAAAGAGATCTTGGAGTCATTATTGACTCCAAGATGAACATGGGCCGACAATGCGAGGTCATGGTTGGCAGGGCTAACCGGACCTTGTCGTGCATCCACAGGTGCATCTCGAGTAGAGCCAAGGAGGTGATCCTCCCCCTCTACGCGACGCTGGTCAGGCCACAGCTGGAGTATTGTGTCCAGTTCTGTGCGCCCCATTTCAAGAGGGATGTGGACAACATGGAGAGGGTCCAGAGGAGGGCCACCCGCATGATCCAGGGACAACAGGGCAGACCCTACAGTGAGAGACTGCGGGACCTGAACCTATTCAGCCTCCACAAGAGAAGGCTGAGGGGGGACCTGGTGACCGTCTATAAACTCACTAGGGGGGACCAGAAGGGTTTGGGGGAGACGCTGTTTCCCCTAGCGCCCGCTGGCATAACAAGGAGTAATGGGCACAAGTTGATGGAGAGGAGGTATAGATTGGACATCCGCAAAAACTACTTCACAGTTAGGGCAGCTAGGAGCTGGAACCAGCTTCCAAGGGAAGTGGTGCTGGCCCCTACCCTGGGGGTCTTTAAGAAGAGGCTGGATGCCTACCTGGCTGGACTCATTTGAGTCCCGTTTTTGTTTTGGGGTTTTGTTGTTCTCCCGCCCTGGCAGGGGGTTGGGCTAGAAGATCTAGTAGGTCCCTTCCGACCCTAAATCTATGAAACTATGAAACTATGACATGGTGGCCGCAATCCTGTGAGATGAGTTGACTTAAATAATATGACTCAAGATAGTCTCGGAGGTGTATTATCTTGCGCTGCATTTAAGTCAGCTTTGCTCCACATACATGTGTATGCTCTGACAGTTAAGTTGACTTAAAAAAGTTAAGTTGGCTTAACTGTCAGAAAGTTAGTACATCTATATGCACCCTTAGAGACTAACTTGTTCAGAAAGACATAAGCTTTTGTAGGTGATAGCCTCTTTTTTGTAGTATCTGATAAAGTAGGCTGTTACCTACAAAACTTATGCCTTTCTGAATGAGTTAGTCTCTAAGCCTCTTCTCTATCCTGCCTCTGAACCTAGAGAGGAGGTGTCATAGGGAGGCAAGGCAAAACAGTACTTGGCATGCCAGTGCAAGCTCAACTGAGTCTGTATGTGCAACTCGCTGAAGGGTCTGCCTGTCACACATCAGACTCCTCAGCCACTCAAGAAGCTGTGGTGATACCCGGAAACCCACCTAAGGCACAGTCTCCATGCTCTCCTGAGAGTGATGGCTGCCAATTGATGATGATAATCTCTAAGGTGCCACCCAGCCTTAGCTATTGGCTGGCTTCAGGCTAACATGGTACCTTTATCCCTCTTGGAGTGGGGTGAGAGAGCAGAGCATAAATGCTACTTAGTCAAATGAAAGCATAATACAAACCAACCACAAAGAAGTTGCCCATTTAACGAGTAAAATTTTTGTGGCTGGTTTGCCATTTGGTAGCATGATAAATTGTTGCATATGTGGCATGTTATACTTTATTGTGCTATTATCATGTTAATTACATAATAAATAAAATGGCTGTTAGGGGTCTTGTTCTTCTAAGCATCAGGTTATAACCTGTCTATAATAGATACACATCTGTGTACTTTATTCAGGCTTTTTAGTGACTGTAACATATGATTTCCTACAACTTCAGTCCATAGTTGCTTACTTCACTGCAAGATGTACTTGGTGCTCTGGACAGTGATGAATTGATATCTTGGAGTTTTCAGCTTTTATGTTTTAATAATATACCTCATACTGTGGGGAAGGAGCTCCCCACTTTGTGCTGATCTTTTGCTAAATCAGTATGTCTTTGATTAATCCAAGTTGATGTACAGAAAGGACAGCACTATATATAAGAAAGCACTTGATGATGTTCCCCCAAGCACTTCCAGGAGTGACTAGAAATAACGGTCACAGGCGGGCAGAGGGGGGATTCAGAGTAGACATCAGGAGGTGCTACTTCACTGTCAGGGCAGCTAGGATCTGGAACCAACTTCCAAGCGAAGTGGTGCTGGCTCCTACCCAGGGGTCTTTAAGAGGAGGCTAGATAAACACCTTGCTGGGGTTATTTGACCCCAGTACTTTTTCCTGCCATGGCAGGGGGTCAGACTTGATGATCTGCTCAGGTCCCTTCCAACCCTACCAGCTATGAAACTATGTCAGGAGTATAATCAGCAAATGTATCAGTGTTGCTTTCCAGTGCAAGTTTTTAATAGTCCTAGTCTCTGAAGGCTAATAGATTTTTCCCCTTTTAAATTCCATGACTGAAAAGGAGGAAACAATGTCCAAATCTTGTCTAACATCTCTCCCAATCATATAGCTTGTCCAGGAGAAGATATTACCAACAAATCTGTCTTCTTTAACAGGTCAACAGTTAGCATCACTTATGTAAAACAATGTCAGAAAAATCAGGTTACTTTTTATGTTCAAATACTCGAAATTCATGTCTAATCTACAGATTGGCCCTTGTCCCATGTTCTCTATTCAGTGAGGCACCACCAGATGTTTGGTGTAAAAATGCAATATAATTTGATCTGTGATTCCTGCCATGCTACGTATGGAGGCACTATTATGGGATTGGGAATCAGATGGCAATTGTGTTTTATTACTGGTGCAAGGGTAACCCGAGATCATAATCAGAAAGTAATAAGGTGGGTGCTGGTGTTCCCAACTCAGAATGTGAGTCAGCTGATTCTGGACTGTAATTTAAGGTATGATGGGAACCAGCCCCATTTTTTGTGTGTGAAATAACTGTATGGCTTTCTCCCTGTTTTATTGCACTGTCATTTGCCTGAACATGTGGTTGGTTACTATTTAAAATGTGAGTAACTGGTTAATCGCATCTTAAGTGTAATATTCGCTAGGGGACTGAGAATTTAAGTTGAGTACA